AGGTGGTCATCTACAGAACTTTTTGCACGAAGAAATTGGTGGTTTTCACAGATTGGGATTGGAAAAAAAGAGTCATTACAGCAAACTCTGTGCAAAGTGATCACTAACAGGGAACCTCTCTTAGTATTGCCACAATGACACAATATGATCTGGTCCCTGATGTCACCAAGATGAACCATACCCTTTCTAAAAAATACCAGTCTTCTTGACACTAAAATGCTGGTCACTAGACAACCCTATGCTGGCAGAGGATGATCCATGGTCAGGTATCTTTATCTCGAAACTCTGCTTTAAGTGATTGCTGTAAGCAGTTTCCTTTAAGCACAAATGTTTTTTGATCCTATTCATATTATTAATGCCAACCAAAAGTAATTTATTCAATAGGGCCAAAAAAATTATGGTCAATGTCTTCATTTGTTAGTATTAGATTTGAGAAAAGAATGGAATACATTTAACTACACTGAGATCTTCACTGATGGAATTAATTTAGCTCTCAGTGAAGTTAAATGTATGTTCTGCACAGTTGAAGTTGGTAGGAGAAGATGGCTCAGAGCCATATTTCTGCTCCCCCATTCCTGAGTTAGCTAGAAACCAAAAAAGCCCCCATGACTATATTAGAACTGACTTGTTACTAGCTTGAGTAGTACGGGCTACTTACTCCTAGTAGGAGCACTGTACAGGTAGGAACACTGTACAGGATCAAAATGGGGTAAAGCGGAATGTTCCCTGCTGTAACTCAGAGCTGCCTCTACTTTCACAGGCCTGGATCTCAGGATACTGCACCAGTTATACTAATCTGTATGGGGAAGGATGTCTGTCATGCCTGTTACCCCAGATCTTCAGGAGAATGTTGGGTTTTTTTCTAATCCAAACCCAAGCTTTGTATAATAGAGCATTCAGGGAGGACTCTACTTTGCTACCATTAATAAATTATCTAATGCCTTTATTCTTAGCAATGAAACATGTATCTTTTCTTGCTACCGACACTATGAAGTCTCCAGCATAAGAACTGCCTTTTATGAAGTCAATGTGCAATGGCATTGTACAAAATCGACCTAGTTTCAGGTTCTAGGATTGTTTCGGCCAGCGACTCACCTGTTATATGTAAATGTATACGTCTGTTAGACGTGCCTGTAAACCCTGGCACACTGTGCTATTGCAGGACTCCGTGCTTATTGCAGCCTTTCAGTACTTAAAGGGAGCTTATAAGAAAGATGGGGCCAAACTTTTTAGCAGGGCCTGTTGCGATAGGACAAGGGGTAATGGTTTTAAATTAAGGAGGGTAGATTTAGACTAGATTTAAGGAAGAAATTTTTTACAATGAAGGCAGTGAAACACTGAGTTGCCCAGAGAGGTGGTAGATGCCCCATCCCTAGAAACTTTCAAGGCCAGGTTGGATGGGTCTCTGAACAAGCTGATCTAGTTGAAGATGTCCCTGCTCAGTGCAGGAGGGCTGGACTAGATAAGCTTTAAAGGTCTCTTCCAACCCAAACTATTCTATGATTCTATTCCCTTCACCTGGCATACATCCACAAGCTACATTCAGGCACACTTCTGAAATCTCATTTCTTTCAACTTGTTTCCCATCACTAATACCAGGGCTACTATTAATATTGACTCCATTTAATGCATTTAACATTAAAAGATGCAGAAAACACAATCTACAGCAGGTCAGCACCATGAATTTTGCAGAATTTTCATGCGTATGTTCTACAGAGTCTCTCACATTTATTTTTTTTTCTGAGTGCCCTTATTTGCAGAGAACTCAATCCTAGTTCTGTTATTTACACAAACAGTCCTGCTTTATTTAGATGAGTCCTCTTTCATGACTAAAGATACAGAGGTTCATTTTTATATCTTGAGGAAAGATTCTACATCTTTTGTTCCAATAGAACTTCCCTTAAAGTCCACAGGATTGCCAAGGGGAATAAAGATTTTCTGAACCTTTTTTTCCCCTGTGCACTCCAAGCAAAGCTTGAAACCATTCCAGCACGCTTCCTATTAGTGTGAGTCCGTGCCCTTCAGTAAGGCTCTAAATAGAAAAGACTTGTGGTTTTATTCCCCTTGACTTTTTGTTTTATACAAAGCACTGTGTACTCTCAGGCTGCTATAAACTCATATTCCACTTAATTCCACTTAAACTCTGGCAGACAGACCAGTATCAGGCTGTTATCAGTACAATAAAATTACAAAATTATTCTGAGCCTGATCCAAGATCCAACAGCACCTGTGGCAACACTTCCACTCCCTTAACTATGTTTTGTATCAAGCTATAAGGCTACGGGGATACTGGTAATATAAATGTCTGTACAATCTGGTACCATGGGAGCACACTTCTGCAAGTTTCCTGGTAACGTGAGGTATCTTCCTGGACTGGAAAGTAACGCCAGTGAGCTATTGCTGTTACCTTACTGTAGTTTTGGTCTTCCCTTGTCTGCATTTGTTATCATTTGTTTAAGCTTTTTAGGCTAACGAGCCATCACTACGGTCATCAGAGGGTCGTTAATGGACTAAGAAGTTTTATCATACAGTATCCATGTTCTCTGTCTTAACGTTGGTTTTTTTTTTTAAACAGTATACTTGCCATATTTGGCCAAAAGTTTGATTAATGCTCTTAGTTGTGGTAGATGTAAAAAAAAATTTGCTATTAAGTTGTAACATAAGTAATTGGCTCAAATCAGTCCGAGTAAGAATCAGAAGGTTTTTTGAATGATTTTCAAGTGGGGCATTTTGATCATTTAACAAAATGTTTTAACTCTTCATCTCTTTATAGCTGACATTTTTTACATCATGCGTATCACCACGGCATCAGATATTTCAGAAATTCGGTGAGCATCAAATCATGCATATTACTGGTATGCCACTGGTTTCAAATGAAGCAAATTTATACCAATTGCTAATTTTCTCTGATGCTGCAATAAGCCCAAAAGTGAGATGCTTTGCCTGTATATTCCTTCTGTCACAGAACATTTGCAAACTTCAGGAGAAAGTTAGAGAAATACAGGTTTGAAGGTCAAACTGGTATCATATGACTGCTAAATATAGGTGCTTGAGGAGTGAAAGAGCTTCAAAGGTCTCGGCATATTTTGCTCAGTGCACTTCTAAATCTGCACGGATGCAGACTACTCTCAGTACATAACATCTTAACATCACAAATATGAAAATCAATAAAACAGAAAATATCTCGGCAGGTGTTAATAATGTATTCCCCTGATTTTCTTAAGGTAGAAGTGCAGCAGGATATGCCCAATATGCAATATTTTCACTCTCATTTCACAAATCTGTCACTGATGAATACTCTGAGGAGTGGAAGCACAGCACTTTCATATTCTCCTAACCTGTATGCAGCATTGGAATGAAACTGTCGTTATTAAAAAAGCCTTTTCCGTAAAATGACATTGCAGTGTGTGCAGCATTGCACAAGCAGAAAGACAACGGCAGTTAAACAGCAAAAATACACTAACAGTGAATTGAAATAGAAGAGGAACATTTAGAGAGCTCCTCTCACCTATTTTCCCTGTCTACAGACAATTTCCAGTGAAAAACGGCTTTGAAAGGAACTGGCTGTACTTGTACGTTTCTCCTTGCAGTACTGCCCAGGATCCTGGGACTTTTAATGCAATATGTGCTGTCAGTACTACGACAGTTTACAGATGTGCAGCCAGACTTCTTGCTATTTATAGATGCCTCTTCTGCAAACAGTATTCTACGGGGTTGTAATGCAGTAGCAGGCATGTTCTTGAGTTAACGCTCGCATCGCGTTCATTTAAGAAGATCCTGCTCTTCACCTGGCATGGCAAAGGAGGCATATTTACGAAGGTCAAGCAGGGAGAGCACTATTCGGAAGAGAAAAGTGGAATTCCTGAGGGAGCAGGACACCTACTGGGAGGACTATCTGAAAGGAGTAGACATTAGGCAGAAACATTGGAAGAATAAAGAAGGGAGCAGTGTGAGTGAGCACACGACAAGTGGTGATTTTGTTCTTTACCTCTGCAGGGCAGCTGGGGAGGATGGTCAGTGCCCCCAGTAAGGGCAAAGCTTGCTTGGGGTGCAATGTCCCTGGGGGTCTGTACATGGCTGCGCTGCATATCACTTAACCGTGCGTTAAGTGTTCAGAGTGCTAGGCACGGTCTATTAATAGAAACGGGGAGTTTGGCACACACTCGCACTTTCGCCTGTCTCCTTCTCACATGCTCCCAGAGAAGCTGGGACTGCATCCTGCATCCTTCTGCTTTTCCAGATCTGAGACTTCGCACACTGCCGTATCTCTTGAGAAGTCTCAGTGAGGTCAAGACAGCCCTAGACAAGTAAACGAGGGCTGCTCAACCCCAATGTTGAGGAAAACTAAGGTAACGGGGCGGGGGGGGGCGCGGATTTCTTGCAGAAAATCTGAGAGCTCGCAGGGTACCCACCCTCTGGGTCCGAAGGCAGTGCAAAGCTATTCGGGCGCTGCCCAGGCCAGCCGGGCGCAAGGGGGAATGCTCCTCCCCCCCTGCCCCCGCGTCGGGCAGCTCCGCTCGGCAGCACGCAGGATGCTGCAGAGACACGGATGCTCCTGAAGTGCCCCCAAACGATCCCAGCAGAGGCCCCGCGGCGTTTTTCCAGGCGAAAATCACCCAGAGCTGGCAAAGGTGCTGTCGCCAGAGACCGTCTTTGTTCCTACCAGCCTCAAACCCTTCCCCTGCGCCTCACACACCCCCTCCCCTCCCCGCAGCCCGCGCGGACCCTCGCCCCGACCCGGTCACACAACTTCCCGGGGAACCGGCCGTAAAGCGGCGGCTCCCGAACCCGAGAGCCACAGGAGGGTTCCGCGGGGTGCGAAGTTCTCTGCCGAGGGGGAGCGGGGTTGGGGGAGACACACACACACACACGCAAGCAGGAAATCATAGCCGCGACACAGGAGGCAGGAAAGTTTATTTGCACTTGCTGCTGCTTCTGCTAAGGGAGCTGTGCTCGGGGCTGGGGGAGCTCGGGCGCCGGGCTCTGCCTCGCATCCTTACCTCGGTGCTGTCGGCAGCGTTCTCCGCCATTTTCCTCCTCAGGAGCAGGCAGCGGGAGGAGTGTTTCATTCCCATAAGAGCTAGCCAAGGGGTTGGGGCTTCGGGCTTGATGTTTTGTTCGGTGTTTTTTCAAAGACCTCCAAACACTGGTGTGCGCCAAAGGGTAGGGAGAAAAAATTACGGGAAACAGCAGTAAATCAGTCAGCTTTGTCCTTTCTGCGTCGTCCACGGGGAATGTTTGTCGCCTCTTAGCATCGGGAGCTCCTCGGGCACTTTCAAGTCTTCGTCTTTCTCCCCTTTCCTCCAGCAAGCTCTTGGGATGGGCAGAGAGAGGCGGCGCGGCACACACTCTTCAGGTTAAACTAAAAGGCTGTCGGGCTGTGAGTCCTCCCCTTCTGAGAAAGCAGTCGGGCTAAACAGGAGAGAAGCACCAGCTAAACTGAACTTGGGCGTGCAGTGACCAGCTGGGCATCTTTGTGTCCTATGGCTACTCTTCCAGAGGCAGAGGGAGCCAGAGACAAAGCAACAGGACAAGGAAATCATAGCCCTTTATTTTCCTTCTTTGGGCTTCTTTCTTTCTCTCTCTCTAGGTCCCAGGAAACTTCCTTTAAAGATGGTCACAGAATTTACCACCCTCTTTCTATGAATGCCTTCTGAAATAGCAGACACCCACCCCACCCCCTCCTCCTACTACTACTCCCCCCCCTTCCTCTCCCTCCTCCTCCTCCCCCCTCTTCTCCCTGTC